CTGTCGGTCGTTGCTGTTTCCAGATCGTGCACATTAACCTCGTCTGTGATGAGAATGTGACTGTATGACTTGCTCAAAGCAGCCTGAAGAAAGGGATTCAGTTAGGTGCCTATCTCACACGTAGAGTTTTCTGGACGGTAAATCACAGCAATAAGATATATGTCTTTGTTCCGCAATTATAGCTGGCACCAAAGCGGATCTGGGGCACGGATCTCTGGGTGTTCATTGAGTTTACATTGGAGGTTAGTCTTGCAATACAGAATTACACCACCACCTCTTCCAGCTCTATCATTCCGAAGCAGCGACATACCAGGTAAACTGACCTCAGAATCTGCTATCTCATGGCTTAACCAGGTCTACACAATAATAATGTGATCCCGCGATCTGGACGCATGGCTTTTTCTAAGTTTCTTCAACTTCATGAAAGATCTTGAGCCTTGGTATACAAATATGATAGCGTTTTTGATTTTGAAGGTGTGTGGTTGGACAGCAAGTTGGTGTTATTTTTAAACCTACCGTTCGTCAGTCGGTCGCTAATCTTTTTTGCGTGCGCGTTGGTTCTTGAATTTAATGCAGGCTACATGGTAGCAGGGCGTATCCCAGATCGATATGTTCTCCCCGGTGTCTCCCACTTCTGTCAGGTGTCGCTAATGCTATATTTCTACAACCCTGCAGGATTGTGGAGGCAAAAGTTTTATTGCAATTGCATGTTTCAACATAGTGCTTAGAACGAGTGTCCGTGTGCCTGCCATCTTTAGCCAACTCTCGGCAGGTAATCCGGGGCGATGCTTCAACCTGTTATCCAATTAGACTTCAGTCTTCTCATCAGAGTATATCAGAACTTTCAATGATCTTGAACCGCAGCCCTTGTAGTTTGGAGATGAAGGAATGCTCGTTAGTGATTCAGCGATAACTTCGTCCAGAGAGAGTGCTACGCGGATGTAGCAACCTTGCACTCGGTCATGTTTTTGCGCTTCGTGCTCAGGAGAGCCCAGTAGTTCAGGAACACCATGAACAAATACGGCTTCTGTTCGTAGAAGTGCCGCCGCGCTTTTCTTTTTCCTTTGTTTGCTCTTTCCAAGGAATATTTGGTAGTATGCGTATCCCGCTCGATGATTTGCGAAGCTGAACTGCTGAGAGTAGAATTGTCTCTGTCTCCTCAGGTGAGTTCAAGGTTACTCGAATAAATCGGAGTTCGCTGTAGTGCACTGAATTTGCGTGAAAAGCTACGCTCCGTAGCGCAGTTGGGTCAACTCGAATACTAATCGCATCGCAGATGGAATTCCACTTGGTACCATCATCTACCAACTTGCTCATTATTGTGCCAGATCTGGACTCAGAAACATTGGTGCACACGACCGTTTACGCACTGTGGTTCTGTTTAGCGAATGTCTGGTTGAGTGTTGCGCCCGGTAACTTGGATTGTTTGGCGGGCACTAATGAACGTGGTACAAAGGCCGCCGCATCGTTCGTGCTTGGTTCCGAAAATGGACCTACGCGTGTCACTTTGGGCGCTTTTATCGAGGCGAGCAAAGCGTATGTTACCCGACTCTGGACTGCCGGTGTTGTGACCAACTCGTGAGATTTGAAATCTGGGGAAGAGTTAATAGCAGTCACGCCGGATGTTGCTTGCCCACTGGAAAGGTTAGTAATTGCCAGATTAGGTCGCGCAGATGCCGTTGGGCGGTTAGTAAGACCGACTTTAGCCTTCGACTTAAAGACAAAGTTTTGGGAGGTTTGCTGTAGAACAGGGCCAGTGCTGTTAAATGCTAATGGCAAAGCCCTGAAGCTCGCCATCTGCTGGACTGTTTCGGTCAGTCTTTCCCACTTTTCACTAGTAATATTAGGCATTAGATTAATGGGATTGCTCTGCATGTTTGGCAAAACCAGAGTGAATCAATCAGGTTGACTTGTCTCTTATATAAATAAATAAATAAATAAATAAATATTGTAGTTGACTTAGACTGCCACAGCGGGGTTTGAACGGGAGGCCACAAAATCCATGACAAATGCCTCCTCTAAGTAGGCATGCACAATTCCGCTTACCACCAGATGGAATCAGTTCCATTGAAGACCGTCGTTGCAAGCGAACTCTGACCTTGTCTGGTCAACGTGAGGGCGCACGCAGGAGATGCGCATCATTGGGAATATGGATGGTTCAAATATCCAGAACGCCGTTCGCAGCAGGCCGACGTGTTGGTTGCCTCTATCTGTATCTGCCTCAGGCTGCTTTAAACAGTTGAAGTCATTCTGTAACAGCATGTTTAAGCCGACCTCCTGGGAGCTCGGCTATAACCTGTATCCCTCATGGCAATAAGTTTAGTCATGTCTATGGCGTAGTTGAACATCACGACCTTGGTCTATATTGGACGTTAGGTCATTCTGCACTGGCCAGTTCGAACTCGTGTTAAGATCACGCTAAAAATCCTCGTGGTCATTCGATCCTCTGATCGTTGTTGACATATCTTGATATCATCTGAAAAAAATAGGAAAGCGGAGGCAATTGATATCGCGAAATCGTTTATGAAAACCAAAAATAGACGTGACCCTAACCCCGATCCTTGTGGTACACCGCGCTTCACACCAATTACTTCGGACATAGATCCCCTGGCTCTCACTTCCAACCGGCGTTCGTGTAGACAGTTGTTTACTCAACGCAGGATTGGGTCGTCAATGTCGTAGTTCTAAAGTTTGTAACGAGGAATTCAGTGGTTTAAGCGATAAAATTCTTTTGAGAATTCTAGCTTTATGACACCGACAGCTGATCCACTATCAAATACTTCATTCCAGTTTTTGTGTGCAATTAATAGGTTGATAGTACATGAGTGCTTTTGACGGAACACACGTTGCTCCGGGGCTATTAAGCTGTTGTTTTCCAGATGCTGCATCAGTGCATCTGCGATGATTAATTCCATAACTTTGTGTCTACAGATGCTGGAGCAGTTGACAAAAATTCAGCACATTCTTTAAGTATGATGGGGGATAGTCTGTCCAGCCGACCAGCTTTACCGGAACGTAGGTGTTTCAGTTAACTATTGTGGGTTGACAGGAGACAATGAGTCTACAGATCCTAGAACTTAGGTAAAGGAATGCTCTGGCGATATATTAGTGTCGCAGTTACAGAACTATTGGTTTGATCTTTTTACATCCAGCGAAAAATAGAGCGAACCTTGAGTAACTCATGTTCGCTATTTCAGCATCCGTTAGAATTCGCGACAGGTATCGTTCTCAAGCATTGCTCGGCTATATACTTGGTTAAGACGGCGTATCTACTCCTTGGTACAAATAATGAAAGATCACACTGAGCAGCCATCTTTATGTTTACATGACTGCTCTTTAAGTCTGCGCAGTCCCTTCAGTTGGGGGAGTAAAACCTGTCTGAGCGGACGAAGAGAGTCTTGTAAGGACAGCAAATGTCGAAACAGAAATATAACTTGTTTTCAGTGTCACAACAGCTGGACACGTCAAGGTCAAAGAATAAACTAAATTCTGTGGAGGTGACCATTTCATGAAGTCAGTCGTTATTTTGTGAAGAGTACGGCCTCCAACGTAAAAGATATCAGGGTGCATGACTGCACACCGCTTAATACGCATATATGCTGCAATACCTCAGCAAACAGTTGGAAATTACAGCCGAAAACAAATATTTATCCTTTGTATGCGAAATCTCAGAAATCGTTCCTTAGAATAAAGCTAAAGAGTTCTCGGTAACTTGAAGACCAGTTAATGCATAAGACTGATACACACTTTCTAAATGTGTTATATGTGTTTTCACACAAATAATTTTATAAAAAGCCCTTCTTTGTGTTCAATTGTACTACAGACTGGTGGAACATTGCCCCGTGTCAGCGGTTGTATGCCGATATCAAAATCACTTAGTAAGAGCTAGTGTTAAACGAGACAGCAGACAGCACGAAAGCGAACCGAACAAGTGGTGTGGACGAGAAACAGGGATGTGTGGGCAAGAAGAAGAAGAAGAAGCAACGACGGCGATGGAAATAACATTCATTGTCCTCCCACCGTTTAACGTAGTACAGGAACTCCAGCGGTCCGGCTACAATTTCCTTCCATTTAAATTCTTGCTCTTATAATTAAGTTCTGATATAACACCAGTGATCGATTTCCGTACGTTAGATTGAGCAACTGTTTTTATTCCCCTAGCCGTCCCAGTGAGAGACGCTAGCTACAGTAATCACTCAGTAACTATAGTGTCAAATGTTGCTTTTATAAAATCGAAAAATTCGAGGTGGAAGTTTAAAGGATGAAAAAGACGGTTAACTGTATAGTGTGAAACATACAACTAACAGTTTTAAAATTTAGGTAGATACAAGTCTGAAAAAGGAAAAGAAGTTTGTAAAACCTACGTCTGGACGAGAAAATATACACACCACACAGTTTAACTAGGACCATGACATAGCTATAGTTGTGAATTGGCGAATTATCTCCACCGTCCTTCACGATCGGATCCGCAAAGATAAAGGACTCAAACCCACATTTTTAACTTCTCCAGATTACATATAGCGAACAGTAAGCGTTTGTGGTGACACCTCCATTCGACATTTTAGCAGGAAACATCACTGGTTCCTTTTTCTTTCATGGACAGTACCGGTATCATCTTGATCATTGGGGTTCAAAACGCCCTAAGGGCGCTATGGTCGCATTTCACTATAAGCGGTGACTATGGGGGGAGCTTATAAGCAAAAGCATATAAGTCGGACTCATTATTTTTTTAACCCAATCCTATTCTCAGATCGCCTTCTAGCGAGGGACCAGGTGAATGCCACACAACTTGTTTCGACTATAATAGCCTGCACGATTGGAATGTTTGAAAGCTTCGCGTACCGAATCACAAAGAGTGGATCATTTGCAGTGCGTAACTTCGGTTTCGTATTTGGCTGGGCTGTCTGGGAGCAAATTGTGCGATAACGCAGTGCCACTACGCAAATTCACTCAACGTGAGTCATCACTTACACGTATCACTTTTCTCTAACCCACTGCAGGTGAACTGGTCTGCAGACTACGAGCCATACGTGATGATTCAGCGAAACGCAGTCAGGTTCGACGAAACTTTCGCTGGATTCGGTTGGAATAAAGCCTCCTTCTTTATGGCTCTAGATGTGCAACATTATAGGTTCACAGTGTTACCTGGTGTCTTTCTACTGCATCTTCCACATCCCCCCAGCATCGAAGTTTTAAGATATCGGACAAATGTTTTATATCGGTGAGTTGCCGAGGGGATGCCATGATTGTTAGCTCATACTAGCAATCCCGTAGGAACAGCTGATTGCTAATCCTTATTCGCTGTCGCATCATGCTGGTAGCAGCTGTTTCTCCAGGCAGACTTTTCGCTGTTTCTCGTTCCGACACCGTTGGTTAATCATTCGTTTCAACTTCCCGTGCTTTTCTTTCGACAGTTCTTGTGTGGATCGGTTAAAGTTGGATTACATCAGAAATCTGGCACGAGAACACGGTGTGCACGCACTGAAATATTTGGAATTTCGCGGACACTCCGAGCGACTGAACAGCTGATCCAATTCACATATTTCTAAGAATCCACTTAATATTTTTGCGTTCGTGACCCAGTTTTGTCTTCTTTCTGTCTAGAGCAGGACTATAATGTCGCCGTAGCGATATTCATAACAGATGTTCGCAGGATGTATTTCTATATGTTGCCAAGCCGTACCTTTGGGACACTGTTGTGTGAAAGAATAATGGTGTCTTGGTTAGTTCTTCACGTTACAAAGTACACCTCTTGTATTTCTGTACTTGCGCTACACCATGCGCATCAGATACTGTTGGGACCATCAGGAAAGTAGTAGTCTGTCGTGCGGAACCCAGACTTAATCATCTCACCATTCATTCAACAGGTTCTCAGTAGAAATTTGCCAAGTTGGTATATACTTGATCCCTCTGTATGCACCAAGTGCTTTAGTAGTCCGTTTAAAGCGCGGGTTCTGTGCTTTTCACAGTACTTTGTTCTGTTAATCGAGCGTGAGAAAGTATTGGGACTGCGTCGCAGATCCATCAGTTTGTCAACGCAATAACCGGTAGGTCAGAAACTCGAGACTTCCACAACGCCGTATCGTCAGCCATTATCCGCAGTCATACATAAATGCTTCCAGTTCCAGTTGTTGTCATAAGTTGGATAGGTGAGTTACCTAATCGACTTGCCGATCGACGTAGGGTGCAGTTGCATTTCATGGGAACGAGGCACCGAAGGAGTAACACGCAGTCAGTTTTAGTATGGAAAAGAAAACCGAACTAGCGAGCATGCGGCAGTGAATATCTTCACCGGTGCTTCCATTCTACACTTAATGTGCTTTACCATGATCTAACACTTTCACCCAGACTGTAATCGTGGAGTCAAGTGATACATATAATGTGACACAGAACACAGTAGTTGGTTTCCATTTTCCTCGATCTGAACAGCCGATCATGACGTATAACCGACAACAGACGTTGCAGGAATAACCCGGAAACCCATCAGAATTCGCACAGGTCGAACCCATTACAAGCAATTCACAACTGACTGGAGGGTCATCGTGAAGTAATCGTTGGGTGAATGGATTGCGACGCGCCACCTCATTGTACACTACGATTCTCCTTGAATTGAACCGTGGACAATTCGATCATCAGAACGGTAACTGAAGCAGATGGAAATTAGATGCTGCCCGCCCAGAGTTTCCGGGCGAGTAACACCCAATTTCTAGCTAGTTCCAGCAGATTGTGGTCACCTAGGCATTCCGTGTTCCCCACGCATCCTGTATTGACTTTAACAGCAGCCATCGGTTCTGTACCTGGACCTTAACACAGTACCATCGTTTGTGTTCCACAATGATCCATTGAGCTATGCTGGATGGTGCTCTTTGCACCTTCAGAGCCAATGATTCCAGGTTGATCAATGGTTACATGCCAGACAAACATAGTCTCCCTGGTCCTTCAGGTTGTGTGTTGGAGTGAGGGTGGCTCCTTGCTCCATAAAAATGACTCTTTAAGTAACTTGAAAATCCCCATTTGCGCAAATGAGAACAAAGAGACCACTTGGTGAGCAATTGCTTTCGATGATTCATCTTCAGACCGATACAATCATATATAGGGTTAAAAAAGTAAGCTCGACATAGTTGATACAATTAACGTAGGGTAAAAATCGAAAACGGGTTAATTAAAAGTTACGGGTTTCTTGACCTCGCGCCATTGACCTCATTATCATCCGCTTTTGCGGGCCAGGGAAGCTGAACAGCCTTAGTTAACTTCTGTTGCGAGCATAACGATGGTCGGAATGATCGAATACAAATCGATTCGGCCGTTGCGAGTGTACGGAGACGTTGACCCTTTGACCGGTGCGGCGGAACTCTGTATACTACTCTGAAGTTACGCTCTAGATCCACTTTATGTCCGCTGTCGATAATATGAGCCAGGATAGAGCTACTAATGGCTCCAGTGCCACCTCGATGTAGCCAACGCGGACAGTGTTCGTTCATGCGTTTGGACAGGTGCCGCGCCGTTCGACCGATATACGATGCGCCAAAAGCGCATTCAAACATTTCGGATGCCCTGTATGACAGCCTCAGACCTAGTGGCACAAACGTCCCAAGGCTCTACGGGTTGCCTAAAATTCACAAAGCAAACATTGCACTCCGTCCCATTTTATCAATGGTTAACTCACCTTACCATACGGTCGCTCAGTGGCTTGTGGAAATACTTGAACCGGTGCGACAACAGCTTGCAACTTACAGTCTACGCGACAGCTTCCAATTCGTAGAATGTATACGTAATGCTAAAATCGACGGCAAAGTTATGCTGTCCTTCGACGTTGTATCGCTCTTTACCAACGTCCCGCTAATTGAGACAATAGATTACATTTGCGACTATATAACCCAGTCAGCAATGAAATTATGTGTACCAACCCGTGAGCTAACAAGTCTACTGTTGCGCTGTACCTGGAATGTGCAATTCCTGTTTAACGGCAAGTACTACCGGCAGAATGATGGCGCAGCCATGGGCTCTCCCTTGGGTCCACTATTGGCGGACATCTTCATGGCAAAGTTGGAAAGAACCGCACTGCAGGCGGATATAGCCACTTTTAGCCACTACTATCGTTACATGGACGATATATTCGTTGTGATGGATGAGGATTTTGACTTAGATGAAATTCTTTACCGTTTTAACCGAGCTCATGCATTAGTACGTTTTACGTACGAAAGAGAAGCCGAAAATCAGCTGCCTTATCTCGATGTTCTGTTAACTAGACGGCGAGATGGCTCCATCCAACGGCAGATCTACAGGGAAACAACATGGGTTGGTCAATATACGAATTTTCACAGCTTTGTCCCCCTGAGATACAAGCGCAACTTGATTCGTTGTCTTACATCGAGAGCACGTCGAATATGCTCTGAAGACACTTTAGACGCGGAGTTGACGTTCATACAGAATGTGTTACGCGAAAATGGTTACCCCGACAGATTTATTTTAAGAAACCTTGAAGAAAAGCCAAAGCCGGTACCATTGTTAACAGTGGCAAAGAAGGAACTCTTCATACGCCTGCCTTTCAAAGGGGACGCGGCTACAGAACGTTTAACTCGAAGTTTTTCTGGTGCGGTTAGATCAACTTTTGCCGCAGCTACGCTTAAATGTGTGTTTACAACGGAACCACTCGTTCGTTCGCGAACCAAGGATAAGTTGCCGATGCTGACCGCCTCAATGGTTATCTATCAGTTTGAATGAGCTTGTGGCGCATCGTATATCGGTCGAACGGCGCGGCACCTGTCCAAACGCATGAACGAACACTGTCCGCGTTGGCTACATCGAGGTGGCACTGGAGCCATTAGTAGCTCTATCCTGGCTCATATTATCGACAGCGGACATAAAGTGGATCTAGAGCGTAACTTCAGAGTAGTATACAGAGTTCCGCCGCACCGGTCAAAGGGTCAACGTCTCCGTACACTCGCAACGGCCGAATCGATTTGTATTCGATCATTCCGACCATCGTTATGCTCGCAACAGAAGTTAACTAAGGCTGTTCAGCTTCCCTGGCCCGCAAAAGCGGATGATAATGAGGTCAATGGCGCGAGGTCAAGAAACCCGTAACTTTTAATTAACCCGTTTTCGATTTTTACCCTACGTTAATTGTATCAACTATGTCGAGCTTACTTTTTTAACCCTATATATGATTGTATCGGTCTGAAGATGAATCATCGAAAGCAATTGCTCACCAAGTGGTCTCTTTGTTCTCATTTGCAAAAATGACTCTGTAGCCCAGTGCCAAAAAACCCGCTGCTTTTCGGTAGGGTTGTTGAATCAAAAGCTTCGGTTGAGTACCCTAATCGTTCTCCTGTCCAAACCTGAGCAAACAGACAGTATATTGCCCGCGCAATACAACTCCATGAACTACTCTGTACTCGATTTATTGATGCTCTGGTCGTCGCAGAGGATAATTAACAGCGCCCTATCTGCTGCATCGAGCTTCGTGGATAGGGATTTGTATTTCAATACTCAAACTTTCTCGTCTTCCTATCCCCCTTCGCGCATTTCTTCATCCTTGTCGTTTCGCCACAAATTCACCTTTACCCCCTGTATACAATCGCTCAATGCTTGGTCCTCACCCGAGTTTCTTCAATAGTCACTTGCCTTCTAGTTTCAATTCACACGTAATCACATGGCGCAGCTTTAGTACAGCCGACAAGTACATGTCCAACCAAGCAGACAAGGTGAGTTCATCCGTTTCTTTTTGGAGTCCTCGATCCTCACTAAGACTGACTTGCCTCAACGTGCTCACTTGGTTACAGCTTGGACAACAGGTAGCACTTGCTAATTGTTCGCATTCTTAAAGCATGCGCTTGAATCCCCAGTGCAGCAGCCTGCATCCGTAGCGCAAAAACTATAAAAACTTAGTCACGAAATTTGCTTGCACGACTCCCTGAGTCGTCAAACAACATCAGGCAATAGTATTCGAACCATATGCCGTCATGGCTGTTTAACGTATTCGCAGCTGGGGCATATAGCCATCGCGGTTTGGAGAGGGAGGTAGCAAAATTGGCAACACTTAAGCTGGACCCACACAACATGGTAGACACACGCGTGGTCAAACTGAAATCATCGGCAGTTGATGTCTTGCTACACAGACTTCAACCATCCGCTCGTTGCGGTGCGCAGCAGCATTGGACAATGAGGGGGGAAGCAGGTGCTTGTTAGCAAATCCCAAACCCTGGAATATGAAGGTAGAAGGAAGTCAGTACCGATCCGGACAACGCGGTCACTTCAGTAAACATAACCGTGACACGTGGTCACACCCCCTGCCTTGAGCGAGCCCATTGTGATTGTAGTCAAAACGGTCTCACACAAAGGGCTTGAGCGAGCAGGCGAGATGTCCGTTTGCATCGATGGGACACGTGAACACGGATGGGTGGAGCGAATGTTCCGAAACGCTCTCTGCAAGGAACAGATCCGTAACCTCATTTCGTTGCCGTCTCAGGCTATTTCGACCAGACTCTCTCTTTCTCGCTTAGCGGCGCAGTGCGAGCTACCGTTTAATCTCATATCAAATCTGTCAATAAAGTGAAGAAAGGAACGATATCCAACACAGCGGAGTGTCTACAATGTGCTCAACCCAACTTTTACTTTAGTCGATTAAATCTCACCTACGTGGCGGTTCCTCACTTAAACCTGTACGTAGAGCGGAAGATAAGCCTATTCCAACTATTCGGCCCCATACAAATCACACACCCCAAATCTGATCAAGATAGACAGAACAGCTCGCA